GAGATGAGAAATAAAGCTAACGCAAGCACTGCGCTTCCACAGTCGTGCCTGCAATCCGCCTCTCCACAAACAGTGCCGTGGGTTATTTGGGGTTAGCTGGGACGGTGAGCCCCTTCGGGAGCCCAAACCAGGCACAAACTCGCCAGGGGACGCAAGCTCCGTGCTGTACCCCAAGGCATGGCCAATGCTCCATGGGTCAACACCTGAAAGGGATGGCAACACGGGAGATGGGTGCAGGCATAACCCCTGCCTGGAGCTGGCAGACAGGCAGCAGGGTGGGAGAGATCCCAGCAGGGGAAGAAGGGATCTGCTTGGAGGTCTTCAGCCCCAAAATCCTGGGATGGGCTGTGGCTGGCAGGAGTGATGGTAGATTTGAGATCCTGCACATCATCTATGTGGTTCAAGTGCCTGACCATTGCCGGGCCCCTCAAGGCTGCCCAGCCTCCGGGACAGTGATATTTCTCTTGGGAAAGCTGAGATCCCCAGGCCACGTCCTTGAAAAAAGGAATGGAGATGAGCTCCATGGGGAAGTGCTGCTCTACGCTGAGGAGCGAGCAAGTGGCCACCTAAACCCTGCGGAGGAGCCATCATCTTCAGAGGACATTGTTTGCCAGGCATAAATATCACTCACAAGTCTGTGCCGAGATGGGCAAGTGAAAAAAAAAAAACCCAAACCAGAGGACTTTCTGAAGAATTCCACCAGATTCATTTGGAAATGTCTTTTTCCACTTCAAAACTGAAAGATTTAAAAAAAGGGTTTGTTCCAGCTAAGGAGCTCAAAAGAACATTGAACGTTTTGAAATGTTGGCACTTGAAGTTCTCAGCAGTGAAAAACAGTTTAAAAAAAAAAAAAAGGGTAAGAAAAGCAAGAATTAATTGGATTAAAATAGTCTGGTGGATCTTTTTAGCAGCCTCTCAGAAAAACAGCTCTAATAAATCACTGATGCTGCTCGAGAAGTAGAGGTTGGCCAGGAAATCTTGCAACATCTCCAAGTATTCTTTTGAAAAGGCCTATATTGAACTTTGAACCCTACTGCAAGCCAGTGGCAGAGCCAGGAACAAGCTATGGTGGTGTGAAATGCCCACCTGTCCCTACCAAGCCGTACCAAGCCGCAGCTCAGGGATTTTTCCGCATTGGTCCCCACCATCACGCTCTTGACCCAAAGGGGAGGATGAGCAGGTGCTGGCAGAGTTTGGTCACATTGATTTCTGATAGTCAGAATATTAGAAATTTCTAACAGGAACGCTGCGAGGTGTAAGAGCGACCCCTTGGGGCCGTGGTGGGGATGCTATATCCTGGCAGGGCACCTGAACACCCGCCAGCAGCAGCGGCACACGTGGATGACAATGAAGATGATGCTGATGACGATGTAGCTCATGCCAATGGTCTTGACGGCGTACATCATCTCGGGATCGTTGAGCTTCCGCCTGCGTCGGCGGTGGTATACCACACTGAGACGGAAGCCGGCCACCATCTTGCCCTCCCGCCAGCAGAAGTAGGTGCCTGCATCGTTCACCTTGACCCGCTGGATGTGCAGGTGGCTTCCGTGGTCAATGAAGACCCGCATGCTCTTGTTGACACCTATGAGGTAGCGGGAGCGGTAGAGCCGGACAGAGTCCTTGTCCCAGGCCACGGCATGCTCAGGCCGGGCTCCTGGGCATGCAATGATCAGGTCAATTCCAATAGGCTGCTTGTGAAACTGTGTGGGGACGCGGGGCAGCCAGGGCTTCTCGCCCAGCTTGGAAATGACATTGGAGATGGCCTGCACGCCTTCTTCGGGGACCTCCTCCTTCAGGCAAGGGGTCAGGCAGCTTCGGATGGCCACCTCGGGTCTCCGGATGCGCCTGTGGCGCTGGAAACGGATGGGGACAGCATTTGAGCCACAGGACGTGATGTTGGGCAGAGCGGCACGATAACGAGGGTGCAGCCGGGCACTGTGTATGTAGCAGAGCCCGATTCGCCGCTGCTCGCCTCTCACCCCACAGCGGTCGCATCTAGTCCAGTCCCAGAAGGTGGTGAAGAGGCCAAAGAGCTTCCCCGTGTAGTCATCCTGGATGTGCTGGCCTCTGTCCACAAAAGCCACTGTGATGTGCTCAGTGGGCTGCACATCCACATCGTAGCCATAAAAGAAGTCCCCTTTCTTAGTGCCGCACAGGTAGTGTCCCGAGTCCGTCACCTGGGCTCGGAAGACGATGAGACTGAACATCCGGATACTGAAACGCTTCAGCACATCACTGCCCGCGTGGATATGGCCTGAGTCGACAACCAGGGTGCCAGAAAAGTCCGTCAGGACTGTGGTTTTGTGGCTGCCCATATTCTTCTGGAAGTACCAGACCACAGAGGAGACCTCTTCAGGCTTGCAATTGCAAGGGAGCTCAAAGGTCATGTCAGCCAAGTAAGCAACGTTGTCAAACATCAGGAAAGCGGGACAAGCCATCCCCTTGAACACATCTCCTTTCTCTTCAATCGCAAAAGCGTGGAGAACATCTATCAGGCAGAGGAGAACGGTGGCTCCTGGCAGCTTCAACACCATCATGCCAGGTGCTCTCTGCAGTCAGCAGAACCAACCAAGCCACCGTGTCCTCAGCAGGGACAGCAGGAACTGGCATGTGGGGTTAGCAGTGCCAGCATGGGGCAGGGATGGTGCACACACCAGCTCGCTCCCCAAAGATGGGGTTTACAAATAATCCTCCACCTGCAGTGCACGTGGCTGACAGCAGGGATCAAACAGTGGCTGAAATATCCCATCTCAGCCAAATATCTGCTGGGAGGCACTCCGTCCTGCCCCAGGGCAGGCTGTCCCCTGGGACACGGACTCTAGAACCTCTCCTCTCTCCCAGCCACTCCAGAGTGTTGCCCACGCCCTGGACAACGAGCGGGCAGATCATTGGTGCAGCACAGCCGCAGAGGGGAGATGCAGTGATGGGAAGCATGGTGGTAATGAGGGAACTGCCAGCATCTTCTTGAAAGACTCATGTGCAGTAAATATTAAGGATTGCTCCGATCCCTCTGAGAGCATCGAATCCAAAAAAGACCCTCCTCCAACGGCAGCTGACCTCCATAGTCCAGGACAAGAGGTTTCAAACATGGTATTTAGACTTCTACATCCTCCCTGTTGGCTTTCCAAGGATTTGTGCGCCGAAGCCCCTCGGCACAGGTAATGTTTGAGACTCCTCTTCTCCGAGTGATTGAGCAAGGCTTTTCATTCACATCACCCTTGCCTGGGCTGATGCTGGAATCAGCCCTGGAGCCCTTAAATGCATCTCTCCCACGGTGAAGGTGAGCTATTTGCTCCCCACTGACTCTGGCCACACCTTCAGCTCAGCTTTTGGCACTTCTTGAGCAGACACTAGGATCAGACCATGAGCTGATGGATTGGGAAACTGACCCCAGCTGGTCTAACAGCCCATCCTCCCATGAATGTTCGAACAACCTCTCCTGTACTTCATTTCTCCTGACTCTTCTCACCAAACTGTGGGGATTTTGCCCTTCCCCAGGTGATGGGGATGCAGCAGGCTGCTCCCGTGCTTGACATAGGAGGTGAGCGCAAGGCCTGAGCCTCTGGACTCCTGAAAGCACCGTGCCTGTTCCCACCAGAGCTGTAACTGTCATGCTGGGGCAGTTCCTGCATCAACATCCTCCATCCTGACTGTGGGAAACTCTGGGATCTTCCCTGTTTTAAGATTTCAGCTCTCGGTTTTCTTCTAGTCCTCAGGTTTGCAAGTGTTAGGCAAAGGCAAGAGGAATGGCACCTACAAGTAGTTGCACGGACACAGATGTCCCCGAGATAGATGCCACAAAGCCCAACATTCAAGTGCCAGACCTCAGAGGATAATCAACTGGGGGCCTAGTGGTTTCTACAGAGAGTGTGGGAGAGGGACGGTTCTAGTCTGCCAGAGTGACTCTACCTTTTGCTCCTCTAGCAGGGTTTTGCAACAAAACGGACCTGGCAGTTGTTTTTGAACTGAATTCAAGGGAGTCTGAGCACTGTAATGTACATTGGGCTCCTCAGCACGCTTGGGAGAAGCCTGAGGATCCTCTCAGCCCAGAACTGAGCTTGGGAGGTAGGTGCTGACCTGTGCCACAGGAAGACCTCTCTGGTCAGCAGCCAAAACAGAAGTGAGACTCAGTTTAGACACAGTATTAGGCAGTCCTGGAGAGTCTCTGTGTTGGGCTGATCACAGAGTCACAGAATCGCGGAGTGACGGGGGTTGGAAGGGACCTCTGGAGATCACCCAGTCCAACCCCACTGCTCAAGCAGGCTCACCCAGAGCGGGGTGCACAGGACATCGTCCAGGTGGGGGTTGAATATCTCCAGAGGAGGAGACTCCACCGCCCCCTGGGCAGCTTGTGCCAGGGCTCAGTCACCCTCCAGGGAAAGAACTTCTTCCTCACGTTCAGCTGGAACCTCTTATGCTTCAGTTTGTGCCCCGTCAGGTCCTTCCAAATTTCAGTTTATGTGGAATTCCAGCAAATCAGAGAGTGTCTGAGATCAGAGGACCACGAGGTGACAGGATCTCTGAGGTTAACCCCATGCCCTGCTGGTTGGACTAGAATAACAATAAACCAGCTGGTTGGATAGTCCCAGATACACCACCTTGCACAGCATTACCACCACCTCCATCAGCCCTCTCTAACTTCTGCGCCTGCATGGTTAAACACAAAGTGTCATTGCTTACATTTCTTAAATCCCCTGAGTGACGAAGGACAGAGAAGAAAAAGGGAAGGGACTATTTGGGGTTTGGCTTTTTTTGTTCTCCTCATCTAAGAGATTCTCTCAGAGCCATTCTGTGAGGACACCCTGCCCCAGAGATCACAACTCTTAGTAACTAACCTTTATTTGTGCAGAACTATCGCTCTGGGTGCCTCCCAGGTACAGAGGAATGTCCAGCAACGCTTCAGAAGTACCCGGTTTAGCCATCTTGCGCAGTGATGTCAAAGTCAAGCTTTGAGCCTCTTTTGCATGCTGTTTCTGCATGACCCTCGTGCTTCTGCTGCTTCAGTTGACCTGGTAATATTTCATCAGCTCCATCACTATCCTTTCCTCAGCTTCCTTTTGCAGGCTGGTGTCCATGACGTGGGCTTCCCTCTCTGCTTCGTGGCTCACTGGGCCACTGGGGTGGCCCTCGGTCCAATCATCCCTGCTCATGCTCCGCAGCTTCCTAAACAAATCCCTGCTGCTCTCCTTCTCTGACTCGCTCAGAAGATCCATGTTTAACCCGAAGCGCTTGGTGCCCGAAAGGCTCTGTAAGATCTGAAGGATGGTAGCTCTGTCTTCATGACAGACGTGCTCTGCCAGTACTGTAAGGAATTCACCCAGGAGGCCAAAGCCCAAATCAGCCTGAAAGATTCTGCCCAAGGCCTTCCCTCCAAGTTCAAGCAAAAGCTGGTATTTTTCTTTTCCACTTTTTAAGCATCTGCGCCAATCTCTGTAAAATTCGGCAGAGGTTCTGGGCAGTTGATCCAGTTCCTGAAGGAAAAAATAATTACCAGTTCCTTTTGTTTTGTTCCCACTTGAAGACTTTTATCCTCCTCCTTCCCCCCCATCCCGATCAACCTGTGGGTGGCTGAGATGTTTTAAATACAGGCTCTGAGAGCACAAAGGGCTGCATAAAGCTTGTGAGGTGGCAAAACATAGAGAAAGACAAAGAAATATCAGGTTCCTCAAGCCCCACAGAAACCAGAGAACTTCAGGGGAAAATAATGGAAGAACAGATGAGATATGAAGCCCAGCATGGATGAACACAGACCAGTAGTGGAGTAACCTCAACCCTAACCACAACCAGACACACTGCCCAGTCTGGATCCACCATCACTGCTGGGGAAGGGATCTCCTGGGGACAGGGGTAGCTCAGTGAAAACCTCTGCTCCATCTTGAGCACCATGAGGCAAATCAAAGGGGTGAGGAGATAAAAGATAGGAGACCTAAGCCCCAGAAAATATGCAGGTGGCCCCAACAGTGTCTCATAACATACCGTATTCGTACAGTCTGTGACAGAGCTTGCACTAAAAGAGAGCACCAAGCTCCATGTGGCATCTCCAGATAAAAGGAAATCCTGTTTTATACAATATGTAATTGAAGTGCTGAACTCATCGCCGCCGACTTAACCGATGCACAGATGAAGGGGGATTAAAATGTTTAGGCTTTTATACGGATAGCAAGAACAAGGCACAGCAACATCAAGCTGTGTCTAAACATAACATGGAGAAGCCCTGTAAATCAGAGCCCAAGCACTAACGGGATTAGGAACTGAATTTGCTCCGGGGAGATCATTGCTCAGTCCAAACAAATACAAAGCTGCCTAGAATAGTTGCAAATGGATCTCATAATAAACAGACAATTTAAACTCAGTGTCAAAGTATCCATCAGAAACATCCATGGGAAACATCCCTGGCTACACGTCCAGTGACCAGGATGCTCCAGCATGGGCAAAGTCCCCTGGAGGGGCAGGACAGATGTCACTCAAATCACAAATGACTTGGATAGAAAATGTTTAGTCACTATTTCCCACAATTGAAGAACTAAGGGCCGCCCAGTGAATTTATCGGGCAGCAGGTTTAAAACAAAATAGCACTTTTCCAGGTCCTGCATAATTAAACCGTGGGGTGAACAAGAACTGGCTACGTTCACAGAAGATCTGCGGGTCTGGGGCTATGAAACATGGTGATCCAGATGCACAACCCTGGCTCTTGGTCGCTAAACGGCAGCCAGCTGGAAGAGTGCATTAAGGGAGGGCACTCTTCCCCAAGAATCCATTACTGGCCATCCTCAAAGGCAGGGCATTGGGAGCTCCGGTGCAAGGCTGTGCAGCTGGTCTTAGATTCTCACAGGGTTGAAGCAGACTCTTCTTGAAGCAGCTGGTGCAAGCTCTTACCAGACACAAAGTAGGGGCCAAGACCGAACACTGCACTTATCTAAACACCAATGTTCCTGGGGACTTGGAGGGCTTGCTCGCATGTAGAGATATTTCTGAATAACTCTTGCATTTTAAAATAATACCCAAACTATTCTGGAGTAATTTTTAGATGTGGACAAAGTCCCGGCAAGCATCTCCCTCACCTGGGGTATTTCCATGTCACTGGTTTGGGGGGCCTTGGCGTGGGCTGCACAGGGATTCCACAGCACGTTCCTCCTCTTACCCACCTTGTCCTTTTTCTCTAGCGGCTTCAGGTGTGATGCCAGCACGATGTTCCTGCAGGCAACAAGAAGGGGATGGGATACTTAGCAAGACCAAATACCTTGAGGCTTTGAGCTTCTTCTCTGAGGGAGTTTCTGAGTTTGGGCCATATGTATCATCCAGAGGGACCTGGACAGGCTGGAGGAGCAGGGCCATGTGAACCTCCTGAGGTTGAGCCAGGCCAAGCGTGAGGTCCTGCACCTGGGTTGGGGCAATCCCCAACATCAGCACAGGCTGGAGCATGGATGGATGAACTGAGAGCAGCCCTGTAAAGAAAGGCTTGGGGGTACTGGTGGATGAAGAATAGAACATGAGCTGGCAATGTGTGCCCACAGCCCAGAAAGCCCAACTGGCTCCTGGGCTGCCTAAAGAGCAGCGTGGCCAGCAGGGTGAGGGACAGGATGCTCCCCCTCTGCTTTGCTCTGGGGAGACCCCATTGGAGCCCTGCGTCCCGTCTGGGGTCCCCAGCACCAGCCAGGCACGGACCTGCTGGAGTGGGGCCAGAGGAGGCCACAGAAATGGTCTGAGGGCTGGGACAGCTGTGCTGTGGAGAAAGGCTGAGGGGGTCTGGGTTGTTCAGCCTGGAGAGGAGAAGGCTCTGGGGAGACCGGGTTGTGGCCGTTCCGTGCTTAGAGGGGGCTGGTAAGAGAGATGGGGACTTTTTACCAGGGCCCATAGTGACTTTTTACCAGGGCCCATAATGATAGGACAGGCGGCCTAATGGTTTTTAACTGACAGAGGGCAGGTTTGAATTGGACATGAGGAAGAAATGTTTTACGATGAGGGTGGTGAGACACTGGCAGAGGTTGTCCGGAGAAGTTGTGCCTGCCCTGTCATCAGAAGCATTCAAGGCCAGGTTGGACGGGGCTCTGAGCAACCTGATCCAGTGACAGATGTCCCTGCCCATGGCAGGGGATGGCCTGGATGATCTTTCACGGTCCCTTCCCACCCAAACCATCCTGTGACTCTATCAAACAAGATCAGGATTCAAATGAGATCACAAACTATCAGAGGGGGGTCAGAGGAAAAGAGAAGGTATTGCATGGGGCAGCTGGCAGACATCCTCCTCACACACTTGGTGTTGATCCAATTGTTGGGACCAACAAGGCAAGAATTTCCCCGCAGGCTGCACCGCCACTGAGCACTGTGGCTCCCCCCCAGCAGCTTGCAGTGCACTGGGCGGGTACATTTTTGTGGATTCATTTGAATTATTACGCTGATATCTGCAGCTAACTACAGCAGCCCGAACTCAGTGGCTCATGTGGCTCCTCTCATCCCGTGGGATGAATCCCTGCAGTTAGTCCTCCCAGTACTGGGCAGAAGATCTTTGAAGGGGTCCGGGTCTCTGCTCCTGTGTCAGTGTGGGATATGCAAGTGAAGATGCTGCACCCACAGAGAAGCTGCTCCGTTACCTCCCTCAGATTACTTCTACCGTTACCAACACACTGATGAAGCAGCTTAAAAGCACTCAGGAATCCTTTTATAGGGACTGGCAAGAAGGTTGGGGGAGAAAACACCATTTTGAAGTGTTTTCCTGCCTTTCAGGGATCAGATGGCAAGACTGAATGTAGGTGGAGATGAGGCCGTGAATGGAATTTGATCCAGACCTGTTTAAGTCTACCACGGGTTGGTCAAAATCCTGGATCCACCCACAGATCTGTCTGTGGAGATCAACATCCCCAGATGGGTCCATAGGTGGATCCAGGACTTTGGTGGGCATTGGGAGTGCCCCGCCCTGCCTCTGCGGAGCATCCCTGCCATCCCCAGGCCACAAACCTGCTCCCAAACCACCTTGAACAAAGTGGTGGCAGGTTTGGGAGCACAAACATGCATAGGGACACACATCATTCTCTTCTGCATCACC